CTGCAAACTAACCCAAGTATTTTTTTGGTAGTCGTGCAGTGGCTGTTATAATTGATCGATCGGTTTGTCCCCTCCAAGCTGCAACCTAAAGGTTTACCATTCCATCCTGAGATTTTAAAAATCTCAATCTGGATGGCAGATCCCAGATACCCTGTTCAACCTCCAACCATAACGGCTACACCAGTCAGGTGTAACCTGCAGTCTTATGCAAGTAACGACACTGATTTTACTGTGCAATTTTACTTTTACTAGTACTGCTGAATACTATAATTCTCACACTGTTGAAAAAAAAAGTATATATTAAAAAAATTGACAACAGAAAAAAAAAAGAATTAAGAAAAAAAAGAAGAGAAATAAGTTTACAAAAAAAAAAAAAAAAAACAGAAATAACAGAAAGAAGGAAAATAAGAAGGAAACAGACAGAAGAATCAGCAGATATCAGTTAATAATTATATAACCTTATTTTTTAACCTAACCAACCAACAATACAAAAAACGACTGCTACAAAAACACATTTAATTAACACAAACAATGAAATAGTTCACCTTCTGAATCAGCTGGGGTGACTGCACAAAATCTGCAAGCGGAGAAAACAGTGGCGAAGTTGGCGACTTGATATCCAGGTGTTTAAAAGGTGAACTGATATCGTGAGATGTGGAGCTGAACACAGACCCGCTAGAGCGTCGGGGAGTGCAGCCATCATATGCGACGTCAGCCCTAGTGGCAAATTTATTGCACGGGGTCTTTGGGGTCGGTCTACTGGAGTCCATGCTGTCTGTGGTGAGGATGTTGAGGACAGGTGGGCTGCACACATCTGATGATAACAGTAAGTCAAAATAACATCACGTTAGTAAAATTAACTTCCAAACTCAGTCATCACTTTAAAAAAGCTGTCTTTACTGCCTGTGTTTATCACTTATTACAGTAGCGTAGGGAGAGGAAAAAATTCCTGCAGCTGGGAACGCAATGCCTAACAGACGCCGACAAAGGCGCAGAACAAGTTTTTTGCGTATCCTTTACGGTACGTTGCAGAACCAACCCCAGCATATTCATATTTGGGCTGTTTCTTTTTTTTTAAAGGCAAACTTATGTTCCGTAGTTTGCTATTCCTTACTGAACGGTCGGTCCTCAGTACTACTGTGGAATCCAATGCAAGGCAGTCTGCTGCCAAATTGCCTGCAGCTAGAATTAAAATCGGCTTAAGAGCATTATGAAGCGCATTTGCAGTGCCTAAGCCATAGACGATGAGGATTTAGGGAGTTGTCACAACCGTGCAGGTTAGCAATTTCATTCACCCCCCCCCCCCCCCCCCCCCCCCCCCCCCCCCCCCCCCCCCCCCCCCCCCCACAGAAAAATGTTCACCCACTTACAGATTTCAGCTAGGCTTCTCAAATAAATGCAGTGTTTCAGCCTACCTATCATGTGTCCAGCTGTCTGATTTTCTTATTTACGTAAAACATGGTAGGGCAGCAATCCTGGCTTATTTTAGTTTTCTCTGCAACATTTAATAACATCTTACTGCACGGATCAAGCCACTTGCCTCTTCTTGGGAAAAGTTAAATAGTTTAGGTGTTCTGATCCAGCAGGAATAACTGTTTAGCATCTAACTGTTTTTATTACAAAAAATTATTTATTTACCTACATTTTCTTCGGTTTGTTCCTTATTTAGTGGCCTCCCCTTTTCTTGTTCCTTTTCTATAATATTTTTGTTTTGTTAAGTTCATTGATAAGGACTTTGGTCCAAATATTCAGCTCTATCCGTGTTTCCTTATCCATTGTTGAACTTGCCAATCCCAGTTTATATTGTGTTCATTTATTTCTTGGGAAGTAATTTGTACCTTTCTCCCCATCTTCTTGAATTGCTACACCTTTTCAGTTTTAGACTTGTTCACAGTTGTCTGCTGTAGCTGAAGGTTTTCATGGGATGATGCAGCCAACTGCAGACAGAACCACACCTATACATATTCTCCTCTTACAACCTGTTTTGCAGGGTGAAGTGTTACTATTCTGAGTTGAAGATGAGTTGAAGAAGTAAAAGAAGAAGGAGAAGAAGAAAAGACCTATTCACCTACCTGCCAGCAGAACTTGTTCTATCCTATCTGTCAACACAAACTCAGTAGAGTCAGGAAGTACCACACTCTGAATCATGGCTAAGACATCATTCTCTAGCTCCCCAGGAAGCTGCAGTGCTGCTTCCATAAAGAATTTCCTATTTTTATCCAGAACACCAATGCCAAACAGCACTACGGCTATCTGTAATTGATACCAAATGCATGTTTTCAGTAAAACTATTCCCCACTTTTATCCAGAGCACAAGTGTCAAACAGTACTACTGCTATCTGTAATTGATACCAAATGCATGTTTTCAGTAAAACTATTCCCCACTTTTATCCAGAGCACAAATGCCAAACAGCACTACTGCTATCTGTAATTGATACCAAATGCATGTTTTCAGTAACAAATATTCCCCACTTTTATCCAGAGCACAAATGTCAAACAATACTACTGCTATCTGTAATTGATACCAAATGCATGTTTTCAGTAAAACTATTCCCCACTTTTATCCAGAGCACAAATGTCAAACAGTACTACTGCTATCTGTAATTGATACCAAATGCATGTTTTCAGTAACAAATATTCCCCACTTTTATCCAGAGCACAAATGTCAAACAGCACTACTGCTATCTGTAATTGATACCAAATGCATGTTTTCAGTAACAAATATTCCCCACTTGTATCCAGAGCACAAATGTCAAACAGCACTACTGCTATCTGTAATTGATACCAAATGCATGTTTTCAGTAACAAATATTCCCCACTTTTATCCAGAGCACAAATGTCAAACAGCACTACTGCTATCTGTAATTGATACCAAATGCATGTTTTCAGTAACAAATATTCCCCACTTTTATCCAGAGCAAAAATGTCAAACAGCACTACGGCTATCTGTAATTGATACCAAATGCATGTTTTCAGTAACAAATATTCCCCACTTTTATCCAGAGCACAAGTGTCAAACAGTACTACTGCTATCTGTAATTGATACCAAATGCATGTTTTCAGTAAAACTATTCCCCACTTTTATCCAGAGCACAAGTGTCAAACAGTACTACTGCTATCTGTAATTGATACCAAATGCATGTTTTCAGTAAAACTATTCCCCACTTTTATCCAGAGCACAAATGCCAAACAGCACTACTGCTATCTGTAATTGATACCAAATGCATGTTTTCAGTAACAAATATTCCCCACTTTTATCCAGAGCACAAATGTCAAACAGTACTACTGCTATCTGTAATTGATACCAAATGCATGTTTTCAGTAAAACTATTCCCCACTTTTATCCAGAGCACAAATGTCAAACAGTACTACTGCTATCTGTAATTGATACCAAATGCATGTTTTCAGTAACAAATATTCCCCACTTTTATCCAGAGCACAAATGTCAAACAGCACTACTGCTATCTGTAATTGATACCAAATGCATGTTTTCAGTAACAAATATTCCCCACTTTTATCCAGAGCACAAATGACAAACAGCACTACTGCTATCTGTAATTGATACCAAATGCATGTTTTCAGTAACAAATATTCCCCACTTTTATCCAGAGCACAAATGTCAAACAGCACTACTGCTATCTGTAATTGATACTAAATGCATGTTTTCAGTAACAAATATTCCCCACTTTTATCCAGAGCACAAATGTCAAACAGCACTACTGCTATCTGTAATTGATACCAAATGCATGTTTTCAGTAACAAATATTCCCCACTTTTATCCAGAGCAAAAATGTCAAACAGCACTACGGCTATCTGTAATTGATACCAAATGCATGTTTTCAGTAACAAATATTCCCCACTTTTATCCAGAGCACAAGTGTCAAACAGTACTACTGCTATCTGTAATTGATACCAAATGCATGTTTTCAGTAACAAATATTCCCCACTTTTATCCAGAGCACAAATGCCAAACAGTACTACTGCTATCTGTAATTGATACCAAATGCATGTTTTCAGTAAAAATATTCCCCACTTTTATCCAGAGCACAAATGTCAAACAGTACTACTGCTATCTGTAATTGATACCAAATGCATGTTTTCAGTAACAAATATTCCCCACTTTTATCCAGAGCACAAATGTCAAACAGTACTACTGCTATCTGTAATTGATACCAAATGCATGTTTTCAGTAAAACTATTCCCCACTTTTATCCAGAACACCAATGTCAAACAGCATCATTCCCATCTGTATCAAGAACATTAACGAAAAATAGCACCACCCACTTTATCTGTTACTGAGATATTAAATGTATGTTTTCACTAATGTCTTTCCTCTTTTTTTTTCCCTCCTTAACAGTACTAACAGTATGATTCCCATTTTTAACCATAACACAATCCCAAAACAAAATCACGATTTGTTACCAAGAATTTAAATGTATATTTTGAATATAAATGTTCACAGTTTTTCCCAGAACACCAAAGCCAAACAGCACCACTGCTGAACTTTAGCAAGAAGCAAATGCACATTTTCTGATGAGCCCAAGTGTTTAGATCAAAATAGCAGCATAACACGTCAATCCTTCATTCTAAATTAGTCACTCTCTGCAGAACAGCCGAGAGTGCCAAACAAAGCACAAACTTTGTAGCTCTAGCAACAAACACACACAAAAACTGCATTTATGGACCAAATGATGGTGATCATCATCATACTGTTGTTGCATGTGTAGCACATAGTGCTGACAGTCAGTTACTCGCTTCCACCTTGTGCAATTCTTTTGAAATCACAGAAGACATCTAATTCAGCACATCTAATCTCGCCCATCAACGCTTTTTGTAAGGTTTCTCTTGGACGCTCCTGCCCCCCCCCCCCCCTCCCCCAACCCATCTGGTTACCATGTCAGTGCTTGTTTGGGTTAGAATTAGTTATTAACCAGTTTAAAAAAATGTAAAAAATCAACTGTAGAGAGCTGAACAAATAAAGCTGTGAACAAAAAACATGCCTTTGCAAGCTCCAACTTTTTTTGGATCGATGATGTGTTTCCTCCTCTGAGAATCATCTTAAAGTTGAGATGCTCATCTAGTCTGACATTGTCACCATAAAAATCTATAGAAATTTTTTTTATAGAACTGCATAGTTATCAAAGAAATCTATAGAGAAAATGTTATAGAACTGCATAGTTATCAAAGAAATCTATAGAGAAAATGTTATAGAACTGCATAGTTATCAAAGAAATCTATAGAGAAAATGTTATAGAACTGCATAGTTATCAATGAAATCTATAGAGAAAATGTTATAGAACTGCATAGTTATCAAAGAAATCTATAGAGAAAATGTTATAGAACTGCTTAGTTATCAAAGAAATCTATAGAGAAAATGTTATAGAACTGCATAGTTATCAAAGAAATCTATAGAGAAAATGTTCTAGAACTGCATAGTTATCAAAGAAATCTATAGAGCAAATGTTATAGAACTGCATAGTTATCAAAGAAATCTATAGAGCAAATGTTATAGAACTGCATAGTTATCAAAGAAATCTATAGAGAAAATGTTATAGAACTGCATAGTTATCAAAGAAATCTATAGAGAAAATGTTCTAGAACTGCATAGTTATCAAAGAAATCTATAGAGCAAATGTTATAGAACTGCATAGTTATCAAAGAAATCTATAGAGCAAATGTTATAGAACTGCATAGTTATCAAAGAAATCTATAGAGAAAATGTTATAGAACTGCATAGTTATCAATGAAATCTATAGAGAAAATGTTATAGAACTGCATAGTTATCAAAGAAATCTATAGAGAAAATGTTATAGAACTGCATAGTTATCAAAGAAATCTATAGAGAAAATGTTATAGAACTGCATAGTTATCAATGAAATCTATAGAGAAAATGTTATAGAACTGCATAGTTATCAAAGAAATCTATAGAGAAAATGTTATAGAACTGCATAGTTATCAAAGAAATCTATAGAGAAAATGTTATAGAACTGCATAGTTATCAATGAAATCTATAGAGAAAATGTTATAGAACTGCATAGTTATCAATGAAATCTATAGAGAAAATGTTATAGAACTGCATAGTTATCAAAGAAATCTATAGAGAAAATGTTATAGAACTGCATAGTTATCAAAGAAATCTATAGAGAAAATGTTATAGAACTGCATAGTTATCAAAGAAATCTATAGAGCAAATGTTATAGAACTGCATAGTTATCAAAAAAATCTATAGAGAAAATGTTATAGAACTGCATAGTTATCAAAGAAATCTATAGAGAAAATGTTATAGAACTGCATAGTTATCAAAGAAATCTATAGAGAAAATGTTATAGAACTGCATAGTTATCAATGAAATCTATAGAGAAAATGTTATAGAACTGCATAGTTATCAAAGAAATCTATAGAGCAAATGTTATAGAACTGCATAGTTATCAATGAAATCTATAGAGAAAATGTTATAGAACTGCATAGTTATCAAAGAAATCTATAGAGAAAATGTTATAGAACTGCATAGTTATCAATGAAATCTATAGAGAAAATGTTATAGAACTGCATAGTTATCAATGAAATCTATAGAGAAAATGTTTTAGAACTGCATAGTTATCAAAGAAATCTATAGAGAAAATGTTATAGAACTGCATAGTTATCAATGAAATCTATAGAGAAAATGTTATAGAACTGCATAGTTATCAATGAAATCTATAGAGAAAATGTTATAGAACTGCATAGTTATCAAAGAAATCTATAGAGAAAATGTTATAGAACTGCATAGTTATCAAAGAAATCTATAGAGAAAATGTTATAGAACTGCATTTTCACAGAAATCTGTAGAACAAACTCTTTAGAAAGCTGCAATGTTACTATATAAATCAATTGTGGATAAAACATAATTACACAACACATTTCCGAACATACACTTTCTTTAAACAAACAGAAAGATTCTGTGACAAATTTGCATTCTTGTATGTATCTATTTTTTAAAAATTATTTTACAACACAGTAAAGAGCCATGTAAACAAGTCACCTACAAATTACAAAAACAAAAAATTCATCAAATGTAGCAAAATTCCGCTACGTTCACAAACTCAAGATCAATACACATAAACATCAAGAATAACATGAAAGTGATTTTAATGAGAATTAACCCTACCAGCCCGTACTCCCTTTTTTCCGGGAATTCCATAACTGTTCTGTATACCGCTAGCCCTAAATTTCGGCTATTTGCATAGTGCGTGAGAAAGATGCGTCACTGACTAAAAATAACCAACCAATCGTCGTCAGTCCGCTTTGTTAGAGATTGCAAATAGCATCCCCGTGTGTGTGAATCAATTTTGTGTGTTTTAACGCGAAAAAATTCGGAAAACTCAGAATGAAGCGAGCGGCTGATGAACCAAGTTCTAGGCTTTTCACAGTCCAACAGGTGATCGATACTTTGGTTTATTTCGACTCTGTGATATATATATATATATATATATATATATATATATATATATATATATATATATATATATATATATATATATATATATATATATATATATATATATATATATATATATATATTCATTATCTGTGATAATTTCATAAAGAATACGTTCTTGATATGACACTGTCAGTGAGAGCGCAAATGATGAGGAAAATCTTGAAAATTATCAATCTTGAAATAGATCGATAGTAGGAGGAGGGGGTGTGTCCATCAAACGGCAACATCTGGTGTTTACTTTGTGAAACAAAGTTGATCCTGATGAGTGAATTCGCACACAAAGGTGGAATATTGGCGCTAGATAAAAGGTAAGCCTATTTTCTACAAAGTCTCCAAGTTTCATAATATTCTAGCCACTCGTTTGCATTTAACTAATATTTTTGTATATCAACTTGGTTTTTTCACGGTAATGCCCAGGAGCTCAGGTTATAGGGACAGTTAGGTTCAGGGCCTTAGGTTTGGTAGGGTTAAACTGGTTTACTTTGTGATTTCATGGCCCACATATGTTTACTAAATAGTCCCTGTCTCGGAAGCTTAAATACTTTGGTCACATCAAGCGCCAGGATGGATTGGAAAAACATTATAGTGGAAGGCATGGTATCAGGAAGGGGAGGCAAGGGCCTGAGTATGAAAGTGCATGAGTCGGGAGAGCTGGCGAGAGACTGAGTTTCTTCTAGGCAGACTGTGATGAGAGCGAAGTTTTGCAAAGGCCCTGCTACATGATGATGATGAGTTTCACAGCTGCAGCTAAGCCCCCCCCCCCCCCTTTTCCCCGAATGGGAGCTGTAACACCCAGTGTGGGAAAACACTGTTATTAATTAATCACAGAAGCCCAACCATGTCTTTATTCCACTCTCTATTCAGTCTTTCAATCTAAGGGGGTCTTTGTGATGAAGTGGTGAAGCTATTTTGTCTTGTGCTCTGAAAGTTGTGGATTTGATTTCATGTAGTGCCTTTTGGTTCAGGAGTGTAAGCCATTCTGTGGAAAAGGACCAATCCATCTACATCATGTGTTCTGCCCAGCAGCAAAGAAGTTCATGTCTCTGATCAGTTCCCAGTCCTTGGTATTTTGAATCAATTCCACCGCTTTAGGCCGCCAAGCGTCACTTCTCTTGGTTTGTTCTGCTTCTTCTACCGTTGCGATCTTTTCTTACGGGACACTATGGGCATGAAAGTATTGGAGGCATGGGTACACCAACATGATGATAGAGACAATATATTAGACTAAGATTATTAGAGACACTTTGCAATGAAAATACCAGAGGGAGGAAAAGTGCCATAAGAGGAGCAGTCATTGCAACAGGCTATAATGAGAATGTCATACATCAGATGACAAAGTAATGTCACTTTATGTTGAAGAAGAGAATACACGCAATAACTGACATGATTTTTACCTTTCAGAAACTCTTTCACAAACAGCAGACGACTTGTATCTGTGTCTGTATTCATTCCGTCTTTGTTTCCGTGGTCCCTAAACAAAATGGAGGAATTCACACCCATACAGCAAAACTTACCAGAACGCATTTTCAAAACAAAAAAAAAAACACAAAAAAAAATTGAAAAAAAAAAAAAAAAAAAAAGCAAAAGTAACTTTCTCACCAATAGCATAGTGGGACATATGATGCTAGACCCATTTTTATAAACCAATGTGCACTTAACAGGTGACGTGATCAACAGCCTACCAGCCACATTTACTTTCCGGGACATTTCCTGGCCTCCATGTTAGGTAAAGTGGAAATATTATTTTTTTTTTTAATCTACCTAAATTCAGAATTGAACTCAAAGACTTTCAGACTGGCAAATGAGATTTGAGCCTACACTTCTTCTTCTTCTCTTCCACCTTGTACCTCAGTGAAGTGTCGGGGGGAGATGTAATGTTCGCTGATGAGCTCTGTCAAGAGCACTATTAAGATTGATGTTCATTTCTGTAAGGCTGTTCTTAATACCATCACTCCATCTTTCCTGAGGTTTTCCGCTCGCTCTATACCCGTTGTAATGTTTTAGTCTGGCTCGCTGTGGCGGATAGTACCAGCGCATTCTTGTTAGGTGTCCAAACCACTTCATTTGTTGTTCTTTGATGACCTGTAAGACTGGCTTTATTCCTAGCATTCGTCTGATTTCGTATTCTGTCTTTCCTTAAAACTCCTGCAACTCTTTTAAAGCTTTTAATCTCTGTTGTCACAATGTTACATTCATTAGAGAAGCCTACACTACTATCACTAACTAATCATGCATGTCATTAAAGGCAACTAAGGACGTGTTTGGTGTAGCCATTACAGGTGCCCTAATTATAACTTCTTTAGAGGTCAAATGGGGTATCTGGGATATGCCTTGTTGGTTTGCCGTCCAGACGGAGTGTAGCACCCTCTGGCCACTGTTTAACTGGTGTCCAGTGCCACTGACTGGGTAAGCAAAGCCAGGTCAATAGCCGTGTCTGCATTGCTGTGCCTCACTGCCATTCTAGTTGGCCTCCCATCATTTAGGCAGACAAAGTCTGCATTGCTGTGCCTCACTGCCATTCTAGTTGGCCTCCCATCATTTAAGCAGACTTTGTCTGCATTGACCCTGGCGTCAGCAAGGGCAACTCACTGTCTTTTCTTCCAGTACTATCCCTTTCATTGTTACGTGCAATGAAATCCCCACACATGAGGACCTTGTTGCCAGGAAATGAATAACTTCTTCTTCTTCAACATTCTGAGCCCTTGAGGTTCATTGCTCCAGATATCACCCGCCTTCATTCATCTCTCTGGTTGGCCTTCCTTTCCAGTTGGTGACATCAAGTGTTTGCAGGTCTGTCTGGATATTATCTCTCCATCCTCTTCTTGGTCTACCTTATGGTCTACTGTTTTTATCCGGAACACATTTTACAAGGGGTGCTAAACAAAGTTTTAGCAATCACTAGGAGAGATGCTTTCCCTACCAAACGTAATTCCACCAGTGATGGAACCAAATTGATTTTAACTTTTCACCCTAACAATGTGGTTGCTTCCAAAGTTTTCTTTCGTCATTTGGACATCCTCCGCTCTGATCCGGACACCAAGATTATCTTTAGTGAGAAACCTAGATTAGTCTATAGACGAGACCGCAATCTTAAAGACATACTTGTCCGAAGCCGACTCCCACCGATCCACACAGCACTTCCTTTTGGGACTGATCAATGCTCACGCAGCACATACAAGACATGTCCTTTCGTTGTCCAGACTTCTTCGGTCAGTTTCCCTAATGGTTCTTTCCCTTTACTTGCGAATCCTGCAACGTAATTTATACAATTATCTGTAAACGATGCAGCAAGGCATACATTGGGGAAACTGGCAGGAAGCTAGCTGATCGTTTCCGGGAACACCTCTCCGATATTGACAAGAAGACACTTAAACCAATCCCTCTCCATTTTAATAGCTGTGACCACAGAGGTAAAGATGATATATCTGTCACAGCATTAAAATCTTGCTCTGGCGATCATACTACGCGCCTCGCTTTGGAAAATCGCCTCATCTACAGCCTTGGCGTTCTTAGTCCAGGTGGTATCAATATCCAACATACCTTCATCTAAATAGTTCTACTCTTATGACATTTTAAATGTTAATTATTTTATTTTCTTCTCTTTTATTTTATTTCATATTGTTATGTTATTCTATTTCTTATCAGTCAGTATCATTTACATATCATTAACGTTTGTATTTCTTTTATTCACAGTATTATATTATATATTAACAATACTACTGTTTATTATTTTTTGTGACTATGTTTTTTTAGCTATCGTTTGTTTTATTTTATTTCATTTATTCCACACCACATTTTTTTAAACGTTGGTCACATCACCCCTTAGAGATCTACATACTTTCCTCTCCTCGTTGTTACGTTTGTGTAGTTCACTTTTGTTTGAAAAAGGCCGCCCGGTCGAAACATTACGTTGTGTTGTTTTGTGCCCGTTTTTCTGCTTCCCCATTTTGTTGAGCTTTTTAGTCAAATTTCTCTGGAATTCCTTATGGTCTACGACTAATCATCTCCCTTGTGTATACAGTTTTTACTTCTCTGTCATCTGACATTCTTTCAATATGCCCCAACCATTTCAGTCTATTAGCTCTCATGATGAATGAACTAACTTTATTTCCAAAAGGTCACACACTGAGCATACAGGTGCATCATACCTTCAGTATTTTCAACAACAAAAACTCATCTTACACATGGCAGTAACATTCTATATACCAAGCAGATTTTGTTCATTTATTAAAATTCATAGTCTGAATGTAAATTAAAAATTCACAAGCTTGGATAACAATGCATACCTTTAAATGTAGATGCAAAAATACATACACAGTGCAGATGCAGACACACACAGGGCAGTAGAAAATACACAAATATACACATACACAGATACAGGCTCACACACTGTGTATGTGTATATTTGTGTATTTGTGCATCCACACAACATGTACATACACACACAACATGTACATACACACACAACATGTACATACACACACAACAAGTACATATAGACACAACACTACACACAAGAACACTCAGCACTCTCTCATCTACTATCTATATATACTCGTGACAAGTCATCAAAGCCTGTGGCATTGCATGATACTTAAGCTCTGCCTACACATCTTCATCTTCTGCATTCATCAGGAAAATCGTGGTTGCCCCAATGTGTTAAAGTTCACAGCTAGTTTGTGATATCTGTACCTTTCACACAAGACATCCAATTTTAGAAAATCTACAATTTGCCATCTTTTACGACATGATAGTCAAAAGCCAGAGAACCTATTCTTTTTCTCCCTCAAAAATGGGGTCCTTGAACCACAAGGGGACCTTTCTATCATTCATCTCAGTCTCTAATTCTCTTCTCTGTGTTTCTTGGTCTCCCTTTACTCTGTTGGTTTCATTGTAGTAACATTATAGTTATATTCTTTCTAGCAGTAACAATACTTACAGTAAATCTAGCACATGCAGGAAGAAACGGCCGTCTTGTAAATCCAGTATATCTGTCACATTCCTCTTCCATAAAATTGACACCTGTCAGATAAATTATCATTGAGCATTAGCCGGAAACTGTCAACTGTAGTTTAAAAAAAGCAAGTTACGTATTTTCAATTCTAATGTTATTTCAATTTTAACATATGTGAAAGTTAGAAAACTACTATACTAAAGACAAGGAATACAAGTTAAATACGTCAGAAAAAAAAAATGCCTGAGGAAAATATTGAACATAAAATGGGATGAATTCAAAAAGGATGAAGAAATAAGAGAAATGTCTGGGCAACCAATATAAGACATTATAAGAAGATGGTGCTATACTGGACTCACTCTGAAAAGAAACGAGCAGAGAATTACCAAACATGCATTAACATTTGAAATAAAGGAACTGAGGAAGCAAGGATGTCCAAAAGAGAGCCTTTAACTCTTTGAGTCCCAAGGAACGCATCATACGTTCAAAGGTTCCCGCTTAGAGGCCCAATGAACGCAAGATGTGCCGATTTTACATCTCTTTTGACTACCCCTTAGGCCTCTGATGCTAAATCCCCTGGGACTCAAAGAGTTAATGAATGTTGATGAGAGGAGCCCAAAAATGCTGGACTAGATTTCATCCATGATAATGAATGGATTGCACAAGACAGAGAAGACTGAGAAAGATGGCGGGTTTTATTTGCTAGTGCTTCCATCGATACACCTCTTCGACCCTAACGAGTCAAGGGGTTACACTACAAGGTAGAACAGAATGGGGGAATGAACAAGACTGCCTAACCTTCAAGTAAAACAGTGGAAAAAAAACAACAAAAGACTGCCAGTGAATGACCTCATTCAGAAGTTTTCTCCAGCCCTAGTTGTGTATACATCTGCTTCTTGGCGTTCACTGGCTGTTAACTTTGGCGAAAGGTTCTGGGTGTTCATCAATTTCTGGACCTTGATCTTGGTATATTATTGATTTTGGTATATTTGTATACAGACTGTTGGTCCCGCGCATATAAGGCAGATGCACTCCTAGTCTGCAGGAAAACACCCCTAATTAGTCACATTTTTCAACATGCTTGTTAGAAGGGCAGTAGGTCCACCCAGGATACAAAATGCCACTTCCACCCAAGACACAAAATACCACTTCCACCCAGGATACAAAATACTACTTCCACCCAAGATACAAAATACCACTTCCACCCAGGATTCAAAATACCACTTCCACCCAGGATTCAAAATACCTTCCACCCAAGATACAAAATACCACTTCCACTTCAGGATTCAAAATACCACTTCCACCCAAGATACAAAATACCACTTCCACCCAGGATACAAAATACACACCATACTTAACTCTTTGAGTCCCAGGGAGTTTAGCATCACAGGCCCAGGGGGTAGTAAAGAAAGTAATAAAATCGGCACATCATGTGTTCATTGGGCTTCTAGGTAGGAACCTATGAACGTATGATGCGTTCCTTGGGACTCAAAGAATTAACTTGCAATTCATTCATATAAAGGTTTCCAATTACTTTAAAAGCATACTCACATATTTTAAAACCACCAACTCTCTGTGCGGATCCATGGCTTTCTGCTTAATCCCTTGAAGATCAAATTTAAAAAAAAAACATACAGATTTTGAAAACAGCTGCACAATACTGACATATCAGAGTTGCCATTAAATGCAGGAGACAGGTCTTTACAATTTCTGACTCCATATTAGTAGAGGACTTCAAATGAAAACGTAAAAATGTGAAAAACATTATAAATTACCTTCATTCGCTGATGAATCTACAGATATCATCCCTTTACTGATTAAAAAAATGGATAACAAAATTCTGCTCTTCTTTGATGCATGTCAAAAGTGGAACGGACCTATTTTAACAGTGATTTTGACGTGGCCGCGTTCATCTGCACTGTGGTGTCGAGTACTGAATACTGTTGACATCCTTAACAATACTGACAAATTACAAGACAATGAGAATACTTTATTGCACTTTTTAATCACACTTTTAAGAGGTGATTTTGGTAACAAAAGAAACAGAAAGTTTAGGCCCTGGGATGTGTAAAAGGAGATACTCCATACCCCACCTTGAGTGCCAGCAAGTCGTGCTGGTTTTTTTACAGATCCTCACTCATGCATGACTCTTGCCAAAAGTCCCCATCGTGCACCACAGATAATGGCTCATCTGTATTACTAGGTATAGCAATGGAACGTTTAGTTTCGTTTATTTTGCTATACATTTTCGTCGGTAACTATAGACGCGATTGCGACCCGAAAATTTGAAAACCAATTGTGTGTTATTGAGAAATTATTTTTCTGTGCTCTTTACGTGAAAGATAAAATCGGAAAAGTTATTAGGAGTTATTGGAGAGATGCCAGGCTTTGACCTGAGATGGTTTTGACGCGTATAAAATAAATCGATTTTTTTGGGCAGCACGCAGTGAATTAACGGTAAGTAATTTCATAAATATCTTTTTAATTAGCCAGATTACCGCAATGTGTGGTGTATTTTTGAATTCTGCGTTAATTTTTATATAAGTGTGGGAAATTTCACAAAGATTGGCAATACAGCACATGTTTAAAAAAATTGTTTAGTGGCATCACTGCTTTCGCTTCAAATCCAATGACGTTAAGTAATTTCATAAATATCTTCTTAATTAGCCAGATTACCGCAATGTGTGTTGTATTTTTGAATTCTGCGTTAATTTTTATATAAGTGTGAGAAATTTCACAAAGATTGGCAATACAGCACATGTTTAAAAAAAATTGTTTAGTAGCATCACTGTTTTCGCTTCAAATCCAATATGTTTGCACTAGGAGACCGTTTTTGCCGCTTTATAATTAACTTAAAATAATTATTAAATTAGCTAACGTTATTTTAATCATTTTTTTTTAAATCCACAACCATTGTAGCATTTGTTCATGCATCTGTCATTATTTAGAGCCCTTCGTATTCTCTGTTGGAGATATTTTTGCCTGATCACCCCCAAATCCCAATAATTAATTTAAGCCATCATTGGTAAGATGATTCTTTGGTAATTAACTTAGGATGCTTAGTAAATTGACAATGTTATGTGAGTTACTTTTTAAACATCCACAAACATTGTACCATTTTTCATGTATTTGTCATTATTTAGAGTTTACAGAATTTTATGTTGGAGATATTTTTACCTGCCCATATCTTGATCACGAATTTTACAAATTCTGGCACTAAATTCAACATTTTGTGTGTGTGTGTGTGTGTGTGTAGATGTCGTACGAGTTAATTAATCGGGAGCATCTTTCGAAGTCAGAGTGCACCTGTCTGAGAGTTACAGAACCAACAGTCTGCATGCAAATGAGTCTTAACTGTAAAATGGATGCGCAGGCAACAATCAGGTTCTGTCAACAGACTAGGGTCCAGAAGTGGACAAACAGCCAGAACTTTCCCCTGGGGTTTCCAGCCAGTGAACGTGAAGATGAAGAAGATTATATATGCAGTATACACACAATAGGTCATACCATTAAAAAAAAACATTTACAGTTTGTGTTCAAAATGTCATGACAGTTTTCACATTTGCACCTTTTTATGTTTTATGTATCATCTGTAACGTTCTACGTTGTTTACAACTTAAGTATTCTCATGAATAGTATGGAGTTGAATGCAATTTTTACCAAAGACATTATTTTGTTTCACTGCATGCTGTTAAAAGTAGTGCAATAATAATGCTTAACATTTGAAATATGTAACACTGTACAGTCACATTATTTATAACACATGAAAACTGCTTTAAAATTCCAAGTGCTTACTATGAGTCTGTCGTGTTTATTTCTAACATTTCCTTAATCTAGGCGGAGGCCTTCAGACCTTGCATGCAGGCATTGAAAAGCTTGGTAGACAGACCAGAGGGCTTACTGGACACACAACTTGATGCATTTGGAAATGAGATGATGGACGTGCAGCCTGAACTAAGAGACATGGAGGTGGCCACCTCGGATGAGTTTGTGGAGACAGTAAAATGTTTATTGCATGAATTTATTATTGTTCTTGAAAGACTGTTGAAATATTATTTTGATATGACCATCCCTACTGAGTCACCAGAGTTCATAGAACTAACAGCTTCAGCTCCTACTCATAATATGCATGCTGAGCGGACTCTGGGCATGATGGATGCCTTGATGAGAAGAGCCCCGCATGCTAACCTTTGCTTCAGTGAAGCGAAGACAAAGGCTACCAAAAATCACACATTGGTCTGGTTAGATTCCATTCCAAATAATCAGCTGCAGCAATTTGTTGATTTTGCTTTGAAACAGGCAATGAGGGTTAGACAGCTAACATGTGAAAGAGAGCAAGCCAATGAGAGGGTGGCTTTACATAAAAATTAAAAAGCTTGCAGAGATGCTTATGAGAAGGAGCTGAAGGCTGCAGTAGCTCAGATAGGGCTAGTTCCTGCACTGCTAACGTTGAAAATCTTTAATGATTTAGATAGTAAGTCCACAATTCATTTAGAGAGGTTTTTAGCTGATAATGCAAGTTTATCAAATGTAATACTGCGACATGTTTGGCATCAAAAGGGCCAGGACTGTGTTTACTTTGAGATGGTTAGGAATGTGGGAACCACACAAACAAAAGATAAATGTAAGAAAGTTATTGATTTGTGGTACTGGAGAGAACATGATGAGCCATCAAGTGACTTTTGTAGTATGAATGTTAAAAACAGTTTTTAGTCGACTTCGCACTGGGGGATTTATCATTTTTGTAAAATAGTATGTACTTGTGGTCAGTGTTTCCATCGTCCATTAGTATGTCTTACATGAATAAGAAGATTATTATTATTGGTTTTGATTTATAATAAAAGAGCTGTTGAGCTCACACTGTCTCACGGGCTGCTATTATATGGAAAAGGCATTTCAAAAGTGAGCTTAGTTGCTTTACTGGCAGGTTTAACAAATACTGAAGGTACACCTAATTTTGATATATGGTGTCATTTGTTTTGTGCTGCAACACATCAAATGGTTTTGAGTGTTTATCAATGTATCAGTGAGTTAGCTTATTGTATATTGTATTGGTAACTTTATTTTATACTCATTTTTAGTGTGTGACTTTTTCCTGACTGTTATTCTCTGGGTCACTGCCTCTTTTCATTTTTTACCTGTCTCTGTCTTTCGACTTCTTGCTATCCCCGCTGTATGTCCTCTCCTGTGGTATTTCCTGGCTCTGCTGTCTCATGCATTCAATTTGCTCAGATCCCATATAATTTTAAGCTGTCTCTGTGTGATTTTCTATTCACTAAATACAGTCCTCTGTGTGTCGACTGGTCATGATGCATACCAGTGTAAATGTTTTGCTCTTGGATGCTGGGCAAACATGGATACTACAATAATTTTTTAATTTTTTTTTATTACACAATTGCAGTTGTTTTCCAGAGAAGCTGTGGCGAATGTATAATCACATCAAAATCCCACGGTATATCAATCATCCATGCTGTCTCTGGTATTAGTGTATGCCTAGACTGTTGTCTTATGTACTTCTACACAACAAGAGAGAAGCAGTGATATGTATATGAAAACAACACTGTATAACAATGATCCTTGTTGTACTATTCCACCTGCCAGATGGATGTTTCCATAGTGGCTTTATAGATATAGCAGCAGCGTGTATGAAGCTGTGGTGAATGTATAATCACATCAAAATCCCACGGTATATCAATCATCCATGCTGTCTCTGTCTGTCTGTCTACATTTCATATGTATCTATCTCAATCCCCCTTTTTTTCAAATGTAAGAACATTAGTGCTATTTATTGTTATCCCTCATGTTTGCACGTTATCATTCATTTCTCACTGTGGCATCATTACTAGTTGATACTTTTAGGTGCTTCGTGTTGTAAAGACATTCACATTCATACGCTTTCTATGTTAATTTTGTCAAAAACATATTGCCAAACTGTGTCTTTTTTCTTCTGCCTTCTATACCCTAATGGGGCATTAGTCCTCAATCAACTCACGCTGTCATTATAGTCATTGCTATTACATTTGCTCTTAGTCTCTTCTCTATCTTTTTAACTTCGCTTTCTAGCTCCCTTCTGCATGTGTTTTTATGGTCTTTGTATATTTTTATGCCCCTGTTGGTTCCAGTACAAAACTCACTGGCAGACAACTATAAATGTATACGGTTTTTGCTGAAAGAAAGTCAATTGATGGCCATTTTCATATGTTAATTAGGTCACGTCGACTGACCTTGGTATATTTTTATGATCTTTGAGTTCACCTTGTCGGGACGCACAATTTGATTTGCATGTCGCCAGGCTCGCTGGCGGATAAACTTACAGGTATAATGTTTTGCTTGAAAATAGTGAGCTGGCTGCCATTTTCATATGTTAATTAGGTGCATAATGTATTATATGTTTTTAAAACGTGCATAGGCAGTTAGGTCTAACTGTCCCGCTTCCAGCAATATTTGGTTGCTAGGGGATTCGTTCAGAAACAAAAAAGTTATGGCCGTAAAATCAAACATTGAGTCATTTCATCTCACTGGGTCGCAGCCGGAAGCCATGTTTTATGGATTTTAACTACAATTTTTCTGTCGTGGTGTCCGTTACT